TTTCAAGACACTTGGTTGAGTATTTTATTGAAATTAATATCACTGGTTTCTACTTTTTATTGAGGCTATTAGAAAATTATCTGTGTGGGTGGCACTGTATTTCTAATGAGCAGTGCTAGCATGCAAATTGTCTAGAAAAGAGGAGGAACTAAGACCAGGAGATTGTAGGAAGCTATTGCAAACCCCTAAAGTAGACATTAAGGAGCTCTGGTGGCTTAGGGGTCAAGAATTGCACTGCTAAACCAAAGATATGTTGTTGTTATGTGCCATCGAGTCACTTGCGACTCAGTGACCCTATGTACAACAGCCCTGAAACCTGCTCCATCCTATGCTAACTTTACTGCCTCTGACACACCTACCTTCATTACCCCAGTCACTGTATCAATCCATCTCATTGATGGTCTCCCTCTCTTTCTCTGTCTCTCCACACTTCCAAGCATGATGTTCCTCTCCAAGGACCAGTCCCTCCTTGCAACATGCCCAAAATATGTCAGACAACTCAGAATGCTTGCCTCCAAGGAACAGGCTGACTTCACCCTCTATAGGATGAACTTGTTGGCTTTCCTGGTAGTCCGTGGTATATTCAACACTCTTCTCCAGCACCACAGATCAAAGGCATCAATTCTCTTTCTATCATCCCTATTCACTGTCCAGCTCTCTGACACACATACCAACCATTTGTGAAGATGATGGCCTGGATCAGGTGCACCTTAGTCTCCAGACTGATGTCTCTGAAGAGGGTCCCTGACAGCCGACTTTCCCAATGCAATTCGTCTCTTGATTTCCTGGCTGCTGGTACCAAGAATGCTGATTGTGGAGCCAAGTAAACTAAAGCGATTAACAATCTCAATCTCTTCACCATCCATCATGATGCTGCCTATTGGCCCTGTGGTGAGAATCTTTGTTTTCTTGATGTTGAGCTTCAAAACCAAAGGTATATGTGGTTTAAATCCACCAGCTGCCATGTGGGAGAAGATGGACAATCTCTTGTGTGATTTGCTGACATGGAGAATCCATTGGAGGGTGAGCTATGGTTCAGAATGATATTTAGGAACAATAACAAAGAAGAAATGAGGAGAATGTAGTACTGCACGGGGAAGGGACAGTGAAGAGATCTTTTTTCAACAGAACTGGACATCTGTTCTTTCTGGATGTGGGGACTGTGAAGAAAGAGTCAAGGCTGGGTGTCAAGTGTCTCACTCTGGTGAGTGAGAAGATGGATGAGTTTTAGGACTTGGTACATATGGGTGTCTATGTGGACATGCAACATGTAGCTGAGATGTGAAGTTCAAGAGAGAGGGTAGAGCAGAGCTGCAGACTGAGGTGTCAACATCAAAGGGTGATGGTTGAAACACAGAAATGGAGATCCTTGAGCTCACGCAGTGACAGAGAGCATGGTAAGAGTCCAGCACCAATAATTAGGGGGGATTGTTGTTGTTAGGTGCCGTCAAGTTGAATATGACTCATAGCGATCCTATGAACAACAGATCTGAACGCTGTCCTATCCTGTGCCATCCTCACACTTCCCAACATTCTTCTAAGGTTAGAGTCCACTGTGGTAGTCACCATGTCAGTCTACCTGGTGGAGAGTCTTCCTCTCCTTTGCTGACCCTCTACCCTTCCAAGCATCATGCCCCTCTCCAAGGAATAGCTCCTCCTAGCAATAGGCCCAAATTATGTGTGGTGAAGTCTCATCATCCTTGCCTCCAAAGAGTGCACTCCCACTACAGTCTCTCCAAGACTTATCTGGGTTTTTTTTTTGCCATCCATGGGATATTCAATGCTCTTCTCCACCACCACAGCTCAAAGGCATCAAGTCTTCTGTCATCCCTATTCATTGCCCAGTTCCCAGATACATAATTAGTGATAGGAAAGACCATAACTTGAAACAGACACACCTTAGTCCTCAAACTGACACCCCTACTCCTTAATAATTTGGAGGGCTCCCTAACTGCAGACTTTCTTTCCTAGTGCAATCTTTATGAGGTGATGGTGGTGGGAATCAGAGAAGAGATACTGGTGCACTTGAATGTTGATAACCAACAGTAGGAGGGACTATTGTGTGCTGTCAAGTTGGAACTGTCCCACAGCTGACCCTCCAGAGGGTTTTCAAAGGCAGTAAATTGCACAGAAGGAGACTGACCATCCTTCTCTCTCTGAGAAGCCTGTGGATTAAAACCAAATGCCTTTGGGATTCGCCAGCACCTGGTACATGGTGCACCCGATGAGATGTGCTTACAAGAGCAGGAAGCACAAGCTTTGGACAAAGTCCTCCGTGGTGTTTGCTGGGGGTGGGTTGGGGCTTTGTGCTGAGTCATCTGAGAGCAGTTCCCAGATAGCAGGATATCCAGGGCACAGTGGCTGGTGAGGAAGGAGAGATGGCAGGGTTGGGGTCAAACTCTATGGAGAGGTTTGAACTCTAGAGAAGTTGGTGTGGACTGGGAAAGTGGAGAGAGAGGAGGCACAGAGGACTGAGGACAAACAAGGTAGGGGCGTACCCCAGGGGGCAGGGCGGAGGGGCTGGATAGGAGCGTAATTTCTGGAGAACATGATCTAGACGGACTGGTGTAGGAGACAGACGAAACTGTCACGCCTGAGAGTGCCGTTTGTCCTTCTTTTCAATGTTCTTTAGCCACCCCTTTGGGTTTCTGTCCAGAGGGCTGTGCCCCCTTCCTTGGGCTCTATTTAAAGGGTCCCCTCCTGGTGAGAGATGGAAGGGGAAGCTGTGTCCTCACTGGAGATGAGAGAGGGCAGAGCAGACTGACTGCCCTTGTGGCCCAGGGCTAAGGTGGCTTCACTCTCCAGGGTATCTAAACCTCCTGACCCCAATACGTCTAGACCCTTCAATTCCTCCCAGTCTGTCCAGAGCCAGAGCAGGGAGGCGACCACATCCTCCAGCATCCTGCATCCTGGGCTTCAGCTCTCAGACTGCAGCGCCCTCGTTCCCCTGCAGGGGCGCTGGGCACCCGCGGATGACCACTCTGCGCAGACCTGTGCCTAACGCGACCTGCTGCGCCCAAACTTTTCTTTGGGAACCCATGGACACCAAGCCGCCAGAGTCATTCTAGGTCAAGGCTGCGTTCTCCCGCTCACCCCTCTAGCTCGCATTTTCCATTTCGCTCCTTAGGGAGGGAGGGACGTGGGGCAGGGTGTGGGGGCTCCAACAACCGCTCTCAGCGGTCTTCCTCCTCGGGCTCTGGTTCCCTAGTTCCCCCTTCAGTCTCGGCCCTTCTGGGGCTCATTCACCTCTTCCTTTCACCCAACTCCCTCGTGCCATCCAACAGATCCTCTTTCTTTTTCCTCTTTCAGAACTTCCCCTTCTCTCACCTCACTCCACATTTCCTCTTCCGACTCCAGCGTTTCCTTTTCTAGTTCTGGCGTCACCATCTCCCCCAAACAAATGTTTTGTCTAATCTCAAAAGGGAATGGCAAGACCAAGAGGCCATCTCGTTGCAGGCCCCCTTCCTCTTTCCTGCTACTCTCTTAGCCGTCCTCCATGAGCACACTTCCAGGATTCAAACCAGAGAAATCCCGGGAGCTTCCTGGAGGAGGCGAGCTGAGCCACACACGTGGGGCCTGCCAACCCTCTCCCTCCAACCTAAGTGTTTGTCTGCTTACAGGGACAAAGTGTCCCTGCTTTACTAGGTCCTCTGCTGCGCTTTTGCTGCCAGAGCCAGGGACCCTCTAACCAGATGCCAATACTTTGAAAATCCGCTGCGCCCGCTCAGAAACACGTATGGAGAAAGTGGGTGCGCGGCCTCGCAGTCCCAGGTGCTAAGGTCCCAGCTGGGCCTCCCCAGGAGGGAGCCATGGCTCTCTGACATTCCTTCTCGGGTTCAGCCAGGGTCCAGGGAGGGAAAGCCTTGGGCTAGGCCACCAATGCTTCCAGGGTCTCCACCCTTGCTCCTTCAGGTGCTCTAAATAACAACCTGGTTAAACCCATCCACGCTAGGGGTCTTTAAGTGCCGGTCTCCAGGAGGGCAGGGCTGCCCTAGGCTGCCTTCCTTCATGTCAGATTTGCCTTTCTGACCACTCGGCACGACTAGGAAAATGCAAACAGCCTGTGCGTGATCCGCCTGCAGTCCCCCCCCGCCCATCGCTCACACTAACACTCACGCGTGTGCAAACGCGCACGCACGTCGCCGCGCGTCCCCGCACACTCAGCCAGGTACCCC